CAACCCAACACTCTCTTAACTGGTCTGCCACCTGGTTCTCTTGCCACAAATTCCCCCTTTTCCAACTCTTTAATCTCTTCATTAGCAACAAATGCTCATCTCCACTTAAAGTGTGGAGTTTAGTATGATTTAAATCATTTGAATTGGGTTTAGCATGATTTAAATCATTTTATTTTAAGGCGACTACATAAAAGTGCTGATGGTTTTTTGTCCATGAATTGTGGCTTGTTTGTTTTTATCAAAAGCAAACTATTTTACTGGGTTGGCAGATGGTCGTTTATCTTAACTCGGAGGTCAAGTTGATGTATTTTGAATTATTTTGGCATATGTGAACTCCTCTATCAGTGCAAATTGTATTGGTTGTTTCATGCTCACTGCCTCACAGCCACTAGCAGATACTGCTTTGAGTTTTTTTTTCAGTTTTAATTTACCGGTAATTTAAATTTTTCTTTCAAACTGAGATAACCGTTATACCCTGAATTAATTAAATTCTGCACCCAGAGCACAAATATCTGATTACTGTATGAATAAGCAATGGAAAAACCTATTTAGCTTTGTCAACGTTTCTATATAAGTAAATCTGTTTTGGATCAAATCATTTTAACTGGCACTCTTTAAACCTCAATGAATAAAAATAGCTATGAGTTTTTAAACAAAATATACAATAAAAAGTGTCCCAGTAAACTTACTGTATGAAGAACAACCTCTACAAAACCCATGCCTGAGTGCAGGTTAAAAAAACCCAGAGAGGAAAGAACCTTGATGGGAGAAGGTTCTAATAGAGTGGTGATTTATTTGGACATTTGAGTAGCCAAAACAGAGAGAATATAGAAGAGTAGGACACACCCCCATCCATGGGATCAGTATCCACTGATTCATTTATCTGCTGGATGAAAATACTAAATAAAATACCCAGAAATACATATGTCCAGTATATCACAGAATATGTGATACCATGAGGCATCACATTAAAAGATATACTAAAATATTTATTTTATTTATTTATTTATTCGATTTTTACCCCGTCCCTCTAGACAACGTCTACTCAGGGCGGCTTACATAAGTTAAAATGCATTAAAACAGCATACAGTATAACATATATAATACAAGATGGCAAAAGTCAAGAAACAAGAGGGGGGAAAAAAGAAAAAGAAAAAATTACTTACTTGACTGGGGGGAAGGCCTGTTTGAATAACCAGGTTTTTAGTTGAGTTTTGAAAACACCCAGCGAGGGTGCCAGCCGAATTTCAGTGGGGAGCGTGTTCCACAGCCGAGGGGCGACTGTCGAGAAGGCCCGGTTTCTTGTTTTCTCCTTCCAGGCCTCCCTCGGTGTCAGTCCCCTCAGCCGCCCCTGCTGGCTTTGTCGGATGATTCGGGTAGCCCTGGGCGGGAGAAGGCAATCTGCCAAATATTGAGGTCCCAAACCGTTTAGGGCTTTATATGTGATCGTTAACACTTTGAAGTCGATGCGGAAACGAATAGGTAACCAGTGCAGTGCAGCCAGAGTGGGGGAGATATGCTGAAATTTTCTCACCCCACTAATAAGCCTAGCTGCTGCATTCTGGACCATCTGAAGCTTCCGCATCAGCCTCAAAGGCAGCCCCACGTAGAGTGCATTACAATAGTCTAATCTCAAGATTACGAGCGCATGGACTAGAGTAGTGAGGGCCCACCGATCAAGATATGGCAGCAGCTGGGCAATCCGCCATAGATGAAAATAGGCGGAACGGACCACGGACGCCACCTGGGTTTCCATGGTTAGCGCCGGGTCCAGATGTATCCCCAAGCTGCGGACCTCACTCTTTGCGGCAAGGGTCTTCCCTCCAAAAGGTAGGGAGTCACCTATGCCACTGACGGGAGGGCCACCCACCCTCAAGACCTCCGTCTTGTCCGGGTTCATATTTATGAAATGTGAGGGGGTGTACTAACTTTTGTGAGTACTGTAGTATTTTTATTTTGAGATATGTATTTCCACTGTGTAATTAATGGAACTGGCCACTAGACGGAGTCAGAGATCATACAATATACTTTATACAGTAGCGGATGTTATGGGTTTTTCAGGCTCTTTGGCTGTGTTCTGAAGGTTGTTCTTCCTAACGTTTCACCAGTCTCTATGGCTGGCATCTTCAGAGGACAGTGAAAGCCTTTGTGAATATACTGTATGCAGGGGTCTCAAACTCAATTTACCTGTGGACCGCTGGAGGCAGAATCTGGGTGAGGCTGGGCCGCGTGAGATTTTCTGCCAAGCGGAGCAAGAGCCCGAGGAAGCCGCCCAGGACTTTCCTTAGCCAACAGACAGGTGGGCTGGCTGGCAGGCTGCAGTTCTGGATGGAGGGTGCAAGAGGTGCTGTCTTGGGAGAGCGCCGGCGAGCGA